TGAGTGAGTGAGTGTGTTTGTGTGTGTGTGTGTCTCCTCACCGGGTGAGTTTGGTGCCGATCTGCTGTCTGGACTCCAGCCGCTCCTGGTCGGTCATCATGGGTAGGATGTTTTTATCCTCCAGTTCTCTCTTCGACGGGCGATTGCTCAGTTTGATCGCCAGCGAATCTTTCCGTAAAATCCTTAAAGCAAGCGTACCTGCACACACACACACAGATTAATTTCACATAAACACACACACGAGTCACATGTTGTATTTCCCGCCAGATCTCGTACTTGTAAACAGCGAGTCGTCGTCATCCTCCTCTTCCTCGTCCTCTTCCTCGTGCGTGCTGAAGGTGTGTGTGATGAGTGTGTGTGTGTTGGTTTGGTGCATTGAATCTCTGTTCTCCTTCTCCGCTTCCGTCTCCATCAGGACAGATGGCACCGCCTGCAGTACAGAGCTACACACACACACACACACACAGTTATTTTAGTATTATTTATATACCATTATAGTTCTTATTAATATTTTGAATTAGCTTGTATTTTTATGTTTTCTGTTTTTATTTTAATTTGTTATATTTTAAGGATTTTGTTACGTGTTTGTCGTTTTTATTCCTTTTTTTTAATTACTCTGTAGGTTATATTTATTTTTATTTCAGTTTTAGTTTAGTTTGTCATTTTATTTTCAGTTTGTGCTTCAGTTCAGTTTTTAGTGCTTCAACTTAAACTACATGAAGAAATGTTGCCTTAGTTTTTAATAATATTTATATTTGATTTGATTTCAACTTCATTTTAATTAGATAATGAAGCATAACAAAAAATTTAAACTGAAATAAAATATAATAAAAGCAACATTTCCCATTTTCATTTAATCTGAAGTACTAAAATACCTAAAATATTTAAACAAAACTAATAAACAAAAATTTATAAAAAACTATGCAGACTAACAAAAACAACAACAAAATTACTAGAAGTTTTCCTAAGAAAAAAAAATGTATTTCAAAATATTAACAAAAACTATAATAGCATATCAATGATACTAAAATAACACTGTGATAGGAGTAACCCTAACTATGAGCACTAGAAATAGTACTGAAATATTCATATGAAAATGATCTCTTTAAAAATGTATCTAAACACACTGAAACTAGCTTTTTTTAATTCTACAAATGCAGACATATTTCTGTGAGGATTTGGTTATATTAAGTATTTATAATTAGTTACATAAAATAATTAAATAAGTTATATAAAATGTATAGTAAATAGAAGTATGGACGGTAATAGAATTTGAACAATACAAAAAATTTGAACTGAGATGATGTGGATAATGACAATTTGCATTATTGAACTGAACTGAATCAACATTGAACTGAAATGAGCTGAAATGACACTACTGTCTTCTGTACAGCTGATTTAAAACTCAAATTAATAAGTGAAGAATTTTACATTAATAGTTATTTTCCTGTTTATTTACTTTGAAGTGGCTTTGACACAATCTGCATAATACAAAGCGCTACAGAAATAAATGTGACTTAACTTGATTGAATAAAACATAGAATAGAATAATAGAGCAGCATTTGCCCATTTACATAGCGCGTAAACGTGTGTGTGTTTGTGTGTTTTAGGGCTGTCAAATAAAAATCCACATTCTAATTCAAAGCGTTGCGCATGAATCACATGAAATCGCACTAAATGCGATGACGATGTAAGTGTCATTGCTTTTTAATGTTTTTTTTAGCTTATCCAGTTGAACCCACAAGATGCGGCGCTGCTACATTGTTCATTCAAAATATTGTGGAAAAAGAGAACATCAGTGTGGAGAAGACGTTGTTTACGTCAAAACCGAAACCAAGCCGTTCACACAGAACGCATATTTATTGCATTTTCTAGAGGGACATCTATCACCTTTGCACTCGCGTCTCGCACAAGAGAGCCGCATGTTTAGAAAGCCATAAGTTCAACTTTTAAAAAACATGTCTCGAGACTTTATGGTGTTTTTTTCCATTCCACTGCATCATGTTTTTAAATGAAAAAAAGTACTCTTTGTGATGGGTTTTCGGTCGTTTTCTATTAAACTATACACACATGATGCTCTTTTGTTTATAATTGTTTAAGCAACTTTTTATATTATATAAAATGTATTATATTTGGTTTGTGAACATTATGCACTTTTTCACAGATAGTCATTTTATTTTATTGCTTTAATAAACGTGCATTAGTAATATTTTGCTCGATGCGTCCTCTTGTGGCCTCAGGAGAGAAGCAAAAAGCTTTTCCCCCCAACTGAAATCCATTCCACTGCATCTCATGTTTTTAAATGAAAAAAAGTACTCTTTGTGATGGGTTTTCGGTCGTTTTCTATTAAACTATACACACATGATGCTCTTTTGTTTATAATTGTTTAAGCAACTTTTTATATTATATAAAATGTATTATATTTGGTTTGTGAACATTATGCACTTTTTCACAGATAGTCATTTTATTTTATTGCTTTAATAAACGTGCATTAGTAATATTTTGCTCGATGCGTCCTCTTGTGGCCTCAGGAGAGAAGCAAAAAGCTTTCCCCCCCCCAACTGAAATTATCCCTTTTAAATTAGAATATTGATAATATTTAAGTGCAAAATTCAAATTAATTTTTGACAGCCCTAGTGTGTGTGTGTGTGTGTGTGTGTGTGTGTGAGAGAGTGTACCTGTTTTTCTATTCTGGTGGGGACTTAAACCTGAATACACACAGACTCATGGGGACTCGTGTCACGGTGGGGACCTAAATTGAGGTCCCCACGGGTAAACAAGCTAATAAATCATACAGAATTAAGTTTTTTGAAAATCTAAAAATGCAGAAAGTTTCCTGTGAGGGGTAGGTTTAGGGGTAGGGTTGGTGTAGGGCAATAGAATATACGGTCTGTACAGTATAAAAACCATTACGCCTATGGAGAGTCCCCACAAGGATAGCAAACCAGACATGTGTGTGTGTGTGAGTGAGTGTGTGTGTGTCCTCACCTCTCGAGTCTCTGCATGGTGAGCGCGAGTGTTTTGTTGAGCTCCTCTATGATGCGGCTGGGTGGATGCAGTGACAGTGGTAGTGTGGCGTACTGATGCGGGTGTGTGTGTGTGAGTGTGTGTGTGTGCGAGCCCTGGGATGGCAGGCATTTGAGGGGAAACGAGGGCGCCGGCTCACAGATCATCACTTTCTTTGGAGGCAGAGGCGGCGACAGTCTGGCCAGTGTCTCTGAAGAGAAGAACAGGCAGAGTTTAGTTCTCTGCGCTGATGTTCGTGGGAGACGGAGGAGCGGCGCAGGCCTCACCTGTCAGATGGTTGGGGATCCGGCTGTATGGCTTCGGCAGTAAGGCAGGAGGCTGCTTCAGCGACGACGGCCTCACGTGAGTGATGTCAGCGCTGTCGCTAGGCAACGGCACGGGCTTCACAGAGGGCGGGGCTTGAGATGGCTTTGGGACGAGATCCGAGAGACACGCCACAGTTTCTCCAGACGACTGGACCTCTGAGAACGACACTGCAGCACAGAGAGACAACGGGACAACTTTACTATTTAAAAAAAAAAGAACCATAACTGAGCAGCAAATCAGCATATTAGAATGATTTCTGAAGGATCATGTGACACTGAAGACTGGAGGAATGCTGAAAATTATAATACATCTTATATATATATAATATATTCACAAAGAAAACAGCTATTTTTAATTTTAGTAGTATTTCACTGTTTTAATGTATTTTGAATCAAATAAATGCAGCCTTGGTGAAAATAAGATTCTTGACTAGTAGTGTATAAAAAAAGGTATATATATATATATATAAACCCTAAAAACTTATTTTATTTCAGTCAGGTTTCTAGTTTAACTTGATGTACAAAAATAATTCAAATAAAACTGAAACATGTATGATAAAAATACATATAACGATGACAAAGACACAACGAAATTAAAAACTAATTCAAAATATTAATAAATTCATTAATAAATAATATTTCTTAACCAAACTCCTTTGATCTAAAATATTTACTTGAAGTCCCCCATACGGTGAAAAACTGTATTAGACATTACATGTATTGGACACTAATTTTACGGTAGTATACCGTTTTTGGAAGTGAAAAAGACCGTATAATTTACAGTGAATAACCGTTTACACCTAATGTTGTTAAATGAATGTTTATTGCATTATTTCAGTTTCATGTGTGTTACCGTGATGGTGTTTAGTGTTTGTGTGAATGACGCTGTGCAGCTTCTATATATGTTATTATTTAAAAGCTGCTTGTGATGGGCTTTGGTTCATCATGTGACTTTCTCATCACCGCCTGCATTTGGTGGTTATCAGTGTATTACAAAGATACAAAACAGATTTCAGTACTTCAATAGGTTGGTATATTAACATTATATCATTTAATGAAATTACGGTATTTAACTGTAAATTTAAGTTAAAACCTAAAACGTTGCTACCGTATTTTTTACGGTAAAATTCCGACAACCACAGCTGTTGGTTTTTTACCGTAAATTTTACGGATTTTTTTTTACAGTGTAAAATAATAAATAAAATGAAAATGTTTACCTTTTTTATACACTACTGGTCATAAAATGTTGTGTTTTTGAAAGAAGTATTTTCTGCTCAACAAGGCTGCATTTATTTGATTAAAAATACAGTAAAAACTGTGAAATATTATTCAAATTTTAAATAGCTGTTTTCTATGTGAATATCTGTTAAACTGTAATGTATTTCTGTGATACGCTGCTGTATTTTCAGCATCATTACTCCCGTCTTCAGTGTCACATGATCTTCAGAAATCAGTATAATATGCTGATTTGCTGCTCAACAAACATTTCTGATTATTATCAATGTTGAAAACAGTTAATATTTTTGTGGAAACGGTGATGCATTTTATTTTTCAGGATTCACAGATGACTAGAAAGTTCAAAAGAACAGCATTTATTTGAAATAGAAACCTTCTGTAACATTATAAATGTCTTTACTGCCACTTTTGATCAATTTAATGCATCCTTGATGAAAAAAAAGTATTGATTTCTTTCTCCTTTCCCTTATAATATACATATACATCAGTGACGATCCTTCCCAAGAGGCAAGGAAGGCAGTGTCTCCTCAAAAAACTGGATGTCAAAATAATCGATATTACAAACATAAATCGCAAATATGACTAAATATGGCGTTAAAAGTTTAAAAGTCACTCGTTTTTATAAAGTAACACTGTCCAACAGCGACACCCGCAGGTAAAGTTACAGCGGAGGCTTGCCTCCCTTCAGTCCATTGACTTTCAACAGAGTCCCTAAAGCGTGCCATGACTTTTCTGGGTTGTAATTGAGAATGAATGGGGAAAGTCACGTGAGAGGAGGCAATGCCTCCATCGCGCTATAATTGGATATGATCGGTTATGATAGAATGTGATTGGTTCGTGTGATAAATCTCTTGTTTTCGTGCGAGCTCTCGGTCAGAATGAAGCAAATGATGGCGTTATTGACTAATTATAAAGTAAACAACACTCCCGCTTAGATATCACTGCTATGTGTCACGTCAAAATAAAACTTGAAATGGTCTGAAAGCGTGATGACTGCGTCTGTTTTTAATGAGCATTCAGCGTGATGAAATGAAAGATATATCTTCGTGTCTGTGGCAGTGTTTACAGAGCTTTTATGACGATGACCCGAAATAAGTTGACTATTAAAAAGAACAGCTGAACATCAGTTCACAAATAAAAAAATATTGGTAACATTTTACAATAAGGTGTCATTTAATGTGTTAACTACATTTATTACAGTATTTATTCATCTTTGTTTACATTTGTTAATACAAATAGGGCCTACTGTTGTTTAGTGTTAGCTCATGTTAGTTCAGAGTGCATAAACTAATGTTAACAAACACAACTTTTGATTTTAATAGTGCATTAGTAAATGTTGAAATTAATATTAACTAATTAATAAATGCTGTAGAATTAGGCTATTGTTTATTCTTAGCTAATGAATCCTTAGTGTTAATTATTATTTATTTAATAACTTAATTATTATTGTAAATTGTTTCCAAAATATTGTTCAAATTGTTACTGCCTTTAGTTATTATTTTGGAATAAATAGAAAAATGCATAAAAACACTATGAAATTTATCATTAGTATTAAAAATATGAAATAAAATACAAAATATTAATAAAATACAAATAGAATTATATTTGTTCTCTTTTTTATGTAATATTTATTTAACCAGGTAAATGTGACAACATTAAGTGTAACAGGGACACACACACACACACACATATATATATGTATATATATATATATGCATATATTTTATAACATTGTAAAGTAAGATTACATATACATATATATAGAGAGAGAGAGAGAGAGAATTATTTTTATTTGAATATATACTGCTCTTTTTTATTAAAAAGAACTCCCAAACCTTCAAGTGCATCTAGAATATTTTTTGAAACAAAACAGCAAAAATTACTCATTAACATATAACACCCTCATTTGCATATCAACACCTACTCCGCATTCAGTACCTTGATCCCAATAAACATCAGTGTGAAATGTCTTAAAGGTACAGTATCAGAAATGGCTTTATGTAGAAGGTGAAAAATGATCAGTAGACACTAAACTACGGCAGTTTTTGGTGAGATTCTAAGTCAAACCGTGCAGAATATGAGAAGTGGACAGTAACGCACCTGTCGCTGTGACGCTGGTGTCTGCAGACTCTGACACTGGACTGATGACCGTCTGTCTGTCCAGATCACTCACACACATGCGGCCGCCGTCGACGCTGACCTCATCTACTGACACACAGATCCAGACGTTCACACTCACTTATTTATCTTTATCTTATCGTTTGCAATACACCGGTAAAAATTCTCCCCATGATAAGAATGAATCTTCCCGCGATAATAACGATAAAGTCTAGTTGTTGACATATTTCTGTGTGCGACCGTGCAGAGCGACATCGTGGAAGGCGGATGTGCAATTGAGGAAGAGTATAACGTTATTGCTAAAGGATGAGCTACTTCTAGAATCTGGAACTGGTTTGGTTAGGGCTGTACAGTGCGACAAAAAATCGGTCTGAGCCTTGAATAAATGTAGTACAGTAGCATGTGTGTGCGATACAGTTTTGCATGTGTATGAGCCTGTTTACAAACCTGTTGTCCAACAAAGATACCATTTATTGACATGATTTAATTTAACATAGTCGAGAGTTTGAAATAACTTCTTTTTGTGACCAGACGTGGTTTCATATCACAGAATGCGGCAGAAATCATACTATTTTATAGTATTATATACAGTGATACAGGCTATGTCGAATACCATTGCATTATAAATATACTTTATCCTTATAAAAATACCCAGGATTCCTTAAAGAACACATTTAAACCATATATTGTCGCAATAGTATGTTTATAGTCAGTTTCCCCAGTTAAAAATTCTCTATCTGCGTTTTATTCAGCTACAGCGATAACTGGATACCTTTGTTCATATTAGGGATTTCCTGGAGCGTCATCAGTTCTATTACTTCTGCGATGCATGTGAAGTTTCTGCGCAAGGGTGCCCTCTGGCTTCCAGTAGGAATTAAACAGTCATTACATTAAGTGTGTACTCAGTAATGATCACAACACCCTATTTTGGGTAAAAATAGGAAAGATAATACGTTTCTCTAAAGAAACAGGATGCACAAGATTCCCTGAATTATCGTCACTGAATCGTTATCGCAATAAATACCAGAAGTTATCGTGATATATTTTTAAGCCCATCCCTAACATTCAGTTCCTGTCTGCTTGAACGGATAAAGTAGAAAAGCTGTTTTCTTACCTTTCTCATACACTTCCTTCAGCACGCCTCTCTTGATGAGCTCTTCTCTGCTCTGACGCGTTGACATCTTCCTCTCCAGCACTGCCAATCATCAACGAAACTGCTTAGAAATGAAAACAGTGCGTCTGCAGGTGGATTGCTGTGCGTGTCTCGTACCTGCAGACGTCTGCTTGAACTTGTCGCTCTTTTTCTTTCTCCATTTCCACGGTTTGAAGAGTCGTCCCAGACTGGCCAGTTTGCTGCGTCTGCGGATCGGTGGCGTGTGCGTCCCGGGAACCAGCGAATCAGAGCGCATCGCCGCCAGACGCTCGGCACCCTCTGCTGAACACACAAAACACACACGGGACGTTTGTAAGCCTGTAAAGCCTGACATATGGGAAACAAAAATAACCTCATTTTTAGAAATGGAACCGTTTACTGACACTATCTAAAACAAAAAGTTTGCATATGTGTTTTATGTTCTAGTACTTTCATGTTCATGTACTAGCTTGCTCTATTATTTTTCTATTCTATCTGTTTTCTTTTTATTTATTATATAATTAAAAAAACTTGCTATGTGTACTGCGTTAAGCTGAGACTTGTTATACACTCTAAAAGAATCTGTAAAACAATATACTGTATTTAGTATTATATAATTTGTATATAATATCTAATTTTATATATATATATATATATATATATATATATATATAAAATTGTATATAATTTGAAGGAAGTTTTCCGTATTAATTTTTTTACAGGTGTTTTACCAGTATTTTGAATTTTACACTTCATTGCATTGTTTTAGAGTTAACAGAAATGTCCGTAAAATTAATGGATAATGTTGTGTGTAATGAGCTGCCAGTACTTTTTTTGTTATTTTACAGATTTTTAGCACTTGCATATCATTGCTCTTTTGTTGATTTTGATTGCTTCCATTGTCTTCATTTGCTTTGGATAGAAGCGTCTGTTTTTTTTTCTTCATTTTATTCAGACTCAAACTGAGCAAAAATATGCAAATTGGTGCGGATGATGATATTTATACGGACAAAAAGTGATGAAATTCTGATGCTTGTAATACACATCAATTATATGTTTATAACAGTAGAGCAGATACTGACATAAAATGCTCTAAATATCAGCGGTCGCTTTATATCTCCAATAATATGTCTTAGTAAGATGAGATTGAAATGCTCCAAACATATAATGCAGTGATTGAGAGCTGAAGAAATAAAGGCTCCTCAGAAGATGTGAGATGTTCTGGAGGCTTGTGAAGATCATTCCTCCGCTGAGGAACAGTGAAAGTAAAGCTTCTGGAAACAAACGCTCCTCAAAAGATCCTGAGGATCAGATTTGAGACTCTAAAACATGATTGATGGAGAATCAAGTAAAGCTGAGCTGCTTCAGTGCAGTAAGTGTTCATCTGGAGATATTACTGCAGTTATTCTGACCTTTACTTGATCAAAATCAGTCAAGATTTGACCGCAGAAAGACACGTGAAGCGTTTCTACAATTACACTAAAACAGCTTTTACTGGATAAAAACTCTAAACTATCAATCAGACGACAGAAGACATGAGGGGATTGTGTGACAACAAAGTTTTGATGATTTAGAATTTTTTTTATATATAAATATATATACCCTATAGGGTTTATATAGGAATAGCAGATGTGTTTTATTGTGCTTTTTAAGAGTAAAACTCAACATCCACATTTATTGCGTGAAAACAGACCTCAAATGTTCATCAAAACATCTCAGGCTGAATGAAAGAAACAACATGAGGGTAACTTTCACTCCTGGGTGAATTATTTCTTTAACAAACCAGTAAATCCAACAGAAAATGTCAACATTTCCAGAAGCTGCGATAAGAGGTACAGTAAAAAGTCAAGGTCTTGAATGAAACCTGAATGGTCATAAATCGAGTAAATGAGCCAAAAGAATTTAAATGGCTTTGAAAGAGAAGAAACTAAGCATTAAAAATGTCACGGCAACCACCAAATACCTTTAGGATCAAGTAACTGGAAAAACTAACGCAACTTATTCAATAATCTTCAGGAGAAATGACTAAAACAGAATATTTTCGTGTCCTTTCCAGTTTGTCTCCGATCACAAGTTTTCCGATCTTTTGTTTTTATTACTTTCTCCATTTGGTAACTCAATAAAATAGGGCAAAGACATATATTAACATTCATTTTCTTAGATGAAGGAACTTCAGAAGGGGGAAGACGACTGTCGCACGCATAAAGTGTAAATTTCTAATCCCATCTTCTCACCCCAGAAGAGTAATCTTCAGATATATTTCACATAACCAGAGCTTTCTGCGCACATCTGCTCTCTAATAATCCACTATTCATTTCACAGAGTGACTAATACGGTCCCTTACTGAGTGTAAAGTGTGGAGAAAGCGCTCACTATGAGTCCAAATGCTGTATTACATCAGCAGGAATTATATTTTGGATATTATGTTTTTTACTTGAAAATGATGGCAAGAAAATTAAAGAAAAAGTTACCCAAAAATTAACATTTGCTGAAAAATTCCTCACCCTCAGGCTATCCAAAATGTAGATGAGTAGATTGGAGAAATGTAGCATTGCATCAGTGTCTCAGCAATGGATGCTCTGCAGTGAATGGGTGCCGTCAGAATGAGAGTCCAGCTGATAAACACATCACAATAACAACGCTTCCTCCAGTGAAAAAGTGCATCTGCTGTTGTCTCTCACATCAAAATCCAGCCACATATTTGTTTAGTTTTGGCTTGTAAACTGTGCAGATTTCTCTCCTGATTCAGACCAGACCACTTTTTCACTGGAGGAATCCTTTTTCTGGAGGATTATGAACTCGTATTTTAGTTAAAAACGTCTTAATGCTGAATTAGTTTCAGCTTTTGTCTTCTCCAGATGTTCACTGATGGACTGGAGTGCTGTGGATTACTTGTGATGTTTTTATCAGCTGTTTGGACTCTCATTCTGACGGCACCCATTCACTGCAGAGCATCCATTGCGTAGACACTGATGCAATGCTACATTTCTCCAAATCTGATGAAGAACCTGATGGCCTGATGGTGTGCACATTTTCAGCATACTTTCATTTTTAGGTGCACAATGACTTTCAACATGCGGTAGTTAAGCGAATGCCATGAAATTTAAAATAGCTCGAATAAAAGCTCAATTTAATTCTCTAACAAAAACGACTCTAACTGTATCCGTCTGGTCTAAACAGCACAACAGCTGCTCTGAAATCACTGGAAGCCTCCTCTGGGAAAACGGGAAGCTTTCTGGATCCATCCGCCACCCGAATGTCCGTGGCCCTGGTGTAAAAATAGGCTGGTGCATTAAAACAGGTCAGCAGGTAAAGGAAAGAATGAAGCTTGTTTTTCTGCTGAAGGAGGCTGAACGTTCACTTCAGCTCTACATCTGACCGATGAATGTAGGTCATCAGGTAAAAACTAACAACCGGGACGCAGAACGCATGAATATAAGACAACAAAATGATCAAATGTGGATTTACCAAAAGTTCAATGCCAACATATTAACTCTATTACATGGTTCATTAAATAATATAATAACATAACAAATCAACAATACTACTGAGCAAAAATTCTACAAATCACAGCAAATAAATATTGCAATAAACATTAGGGATGTAATGATTAACCACGAGCCGGTTGAAAATCGATTTAAATATGTGACGATTCAAATCGGTTGAGATGCTAAACAAATCTCGATTCAGTTAGGGGTAGGAGTTTATATGAATGCATGTCTGAGGGGAACTTACTGGCTTTCGATGGTATTTTTTCTTTTCATCTTGCCTCTGTATAATGCATATTAAAGTTCATCTTTGTTTACAGCGGAAACCAAGAAAAGGCTTTAAGCGCCACCTGCTGGCAGAGCGTGCATCTGCGTCTCGTTCAGCTCGTCTGCTGTTTCGGTTTCATGCTGAGATTTTTTTATGCATAGTTTCACAAAACTGAAGTCAACACATTCTGCTTTTGCTTCAAATTTCGAAATTATACTATCTAATTTAGATTAAAAACTGCTCGTGTTGCATGTATGCAGCATCTTTGTTTGGATCGTGATTAATTTTAATCTCTAATTTTAAACGTTAAGAGCACAGACAAAGCCTTAGTTTGTTTATATGAAGAGATTTATTTTATTTGTGTTACTTATTTATTTGATTTGGGGCTTGTTTTAAAATTCCAATGTAGTTTTGTTATTTACATTATATTTAAATTGTGTTATTTAGCAGATGCTTTTATCCAAAGCGACTTACAAATGAGAAGCAATCAAAAGACCAACAATATGCAAGTGCTATATTAGTATATTATTATAGTGTTATATTTCAATTTCACAAAGAAATGTGCAGCATTTTGTCCAAGCAATAATAAAAGTACACATTTAATAATTTGTCTTAAATCTAATTTTGTAAAAAATAAAAATTGTGACTCGAATCGTGAGTTGAGTGAATCGTTACATCCCTAATAAACATATATTAAACACAAAAACTACAAATTATATCATTAATATTTAATTATAAATTAACATAAAATATCTCATACTTATATATAACTTGTGTAATGTATATATTTATCTATGCTATTTAAACTATCATTTTTATTTTACATAAATGTTATATATAAAACGTATATTTATTGAATATGATGCATCACATCCTGCTGTTCACTGTAAATTAATCTGTGACTCATATTTTTACTTACAAAAACATCATAACTACACTTTAATGTAAAAGTAAAGTACGTGCAATGTCTTAAATGAATATGATAAATAATTGTAATTTCTTAATTCCAAAACCCATACAGTATTTCACAGTGAATAAATATAATTTTTCTCTGTATATGGTCAGGGATTTACATTTTTACATTATTTTTCAATATTGCTACATTGTATACGACACCAAGGTAACACTACAGTATCTACAGTAGTTGCTAACATTACTATTAGTGCAATAAATGAACATTCTAATTCTAAATATTAATACAAAACATAAATATTCATACATTTCCAGCCATTACTGAACAATACATTGCATAATACATTTTATTTGCTCGTATTTACAGAATATTTTATATAAATATGTTATATTATGCAAAGTAACCCATCTATATTTTGCGTGACCGTACGGTTGATATGTCTGTAAAAGGACATATCATATAGCAAATGGTTATATATATATATATATATATATAACAGATGTTTAAAACTATTTTTTGGGTTATGAAGGTTATGAAATGTGTCCCAAGACCTACTAATAAAGATTAAGGAATGTTTATTATTGGAAAAGAACTGGAAAGTTCTCTGGATTTAAATCGAGATTTACCATAGACTGAAAGGTCAGCAGGTATATAAAACATAAATTAAAAATGCTTGAGGATATTTGTGACCCTGCAGCACAGAAGCAGTGTTGAGTCGCTGGGGGATATTTGTAGCAATAGCCAACAATACATTGTATGGGTCACAATTATACATTTCTCTTTTATGCCAAAAATCATTAGGATATTAAGTAAAGATCATGTTCCTTGAAGATATTTAGTAAATCTCCTACCGTAAATATATCAAAACTTAATGTTTGATTAGTAATATGCATTGCTAAGAACTTCATTTGAACAACTTTAAAGATGATTTTCTCAATATTTAGATTTTTTTTGTTGTTGCACCCTCAGATTCCAGATTTTCAAATAGTTGTATCTCGGCCAAATATTGTCCGATCCTAACAAACCATACATCAATGGAAAGCTTATTTATTCAGCTTTCAGCTGATGCATAAATCTCAATTTCCAAAAATGGACCCTTTTGGCAGGTTTTGTACTCCACATTTATCAGACGTCTACTAATAAGAATTTAAAGTTATTTTTTTTTTCATTAGCTCCTATTAGGGGTGAAAGTTAAAGGGTTAAGAATGAACTAGGCCAAGATTATAATAATAATTAATTTTTTTACAGACTGTTTTATTCTCCAGCACCGTTCAGCGCGGCTCTCACTCACCGTCCCGGAGCTCATTCCCGCGGCTGCAGTTGCTGCAGATGTGCTTGATGTGGCCGGAGATCACAAACGGCGTGTTGTTGTTACCGGGGGCGGTGTGCTGCCGCAGTCTGACCAGGTTAAAGGCTCTCCGTCTGCGCGGTTTCTCTGCGGACGACGACGACGATAACGATGAGGAAGATGACGCGTCCTCCCGTAACCGCGATGTGATCCAGCTCCCGTGCGCTCCGGTGAATGCGGGACCCGCCATGGGCTCAGCGGCGGCGTGTCTATCGGTCACACCCCGGGATGGTGCGGATATCGAACGGAAGAGCGAGTTCATGAGCCTCACCGATCATCCCGAGCCGCGCGAACCGGGTGATATCGCGTCTTTAAACCCCTCGTTACCGTTAATTCCTTAACAACGTTCGCGCAAATTCAAGTAATGTTTATCATAAGCGGACGGATGCGCCTCTCGGTAGCATCTCTTCAAATTCACCAACGTGACGCAATGCCGTGAAGTCCACGTAAAAATACGCGGACAGGAATCGACCGTTAACGGCAGCAAATTCGCCGATCTGTGGGAGCTTGTCTTATGAATATTAATTATATTCGTCACTCGGGCCCATCCGATTGGAGGTTGTTGTTAAGTGGGCTTAACCGTGAAGACTTGGCTCATAAATATTAATGACGCAACTTGACTGGAAGGCGCTGTTAAGCGATTCTATGCTGAAGGCTACGCTCATAAATATTAATGACGCAATGTCACGTTCGGCCAATAGGATTTTAACAGAAAAAAATATTTTTGTTTTTAACAATATTTATTTACATTTGATATTTTCTTATAGCATATGTTTGGCTATCAAGCAGCGTGAGCACGACGCCTTCACCATAGTATTATTTTCGCTGGCCAGGGTTAGGTTACAGAAGCCTGGACTAAAATAAATATAATACCGGTAACCATTTCCCCAAACACCGTCCAAACCTATTGGGAAATGCTGCTTTATTATCTGTAGGGCATAGAAAATTATGTAGATTTAACATATATCCATATATAGCTTCATAAAATCCTACTATAATTAGCGTGTAGATATTTAATAGATAGGTTATGATACCTTTTGACAAATTATTGAACTGTTTAGTCGCCACAGATTCTGCCCTTTAAAAGTACTAGCTGGTAACAACATAGCAGGCCTATTGTTGCAGTAGCATGATTGCTATACCAGTCTTAATAATAATTCATATCAATATTGTACTCCAAGGTAGCCTACATAGGGCAAAAACAAATAAAAATAAAAATGCATATATATTTTCAAATATATATATTTTTTAATGTATTCCAGGATGTACAAAAAGGGCAAACATGTATTTGCTAGCATATGTTACAAAATATAATTTGAAACATATTTTTGAAATATATTCTAAAAATTAAAATATTTTTAATTGCATTAAAATATGTATGTTTTAATCCAAGGAAAAAAAATTCATTTACACGTGTCACATTTGAAGAAAAAACTTGTCTATAATACGTGTGAACACAACATATTTGAATAAAAATCTTACTTTACAATGTTCTAATATATATATACTGTATATACACAATATGTAAAAAAAATGAAGTGTTATTAAATCAAAATCTAGTTTTCTTGCCCCTGAAATTGATTGTGAATTTTGCTATATGAAAGTTGAAACTAAATATATTTCCAATTTCAAAAAATTTATTTCATTTAGCTTCACTGTTACAACATATATTTAGCTTTTTTTGTATAATTTTTGGGCCAGAAAAAACATAAATATATATATTTGGCATATGGCAATGCTATGGTACTTGATTTAACCCTAAAAAAATGAGCAAATGCTTTAAAAACGGCTAATAAGGAGAAATATTGGGTTAAACGCACAGCATTGGCCTGGGACTCTGTTTTAAGATCTGTTGATTTTGCGGTTGCTTCACTAAACTGGCCTCAGAACAGCTGCGGCTCTGAGGAACATGTGCAGATGAAATATTATCCAGGATAAACCGAACCATGACTCCTATGCTGGAATGAATATTCTTTCTCATGCTTTCTATCCTAAAATCTAATTCTGTGTGTGTTTGTGAGAAAATTAACCCCCACGTGACTGATTGTGGCATGTGTGACTTTAATCATATGTTTGTACTTGATTTAACCCTAAAAAAAAGAGCAGAATGCTTTGAAAACGGCTAATAAGGAGAAATATTGGGTTAAACGCACAGCATCACAATCGGTCTCTGTTTTAAGATCTGTTGATTTTGCGGTTGCTTCACTAAACTGGCCTCAGAACAGCTGCGGCTCTGAGGAACATGTGCAGATGAAATATTATCCAGGATAAACCGAACCATGACTCCTATGCTGGAATGAATATTCTTTCTCATGCTTTCTATCCTAAAATCTAATTCTGTGTGTGTTTGTGAGAAAATTAACCCCCACGTGACTGATTGTGGCATGTGTGACTTTAATCATATGTTTGTGTGTGTGTGTGTGTGTGTGTGTGTGAGAGAGTGTGTGTGTGTGTGTGTGTGAGAGAGAGAGAGTGTGTGTTAAATTCCCCTACTGTATACGGTGAAAAACTGTATATGACATTACATGTATTGGACATTAATTTTACGGTAGTATACTGTTTTTGGAAGTGAAAAAGACCTGCGTTACATTTCAAATTTGATGTTTTTTTGTTGAAATAACTATGTTTCTTCTTAGTTTTTTCTTATCAGTTTTGTATATGAGGGTTGTGTGTTACACCTAATGTTGTTAAATGAATGTTTATTGCATTATGTGTTACCGTGATGGTGTTTAGTGTTTGTGTGAATGACACTGTGCACCTTCTATATATGTTATTATACGGTAGCAGTGATATATTACCTTTTTTGGGTTAAAATGTGACCTGGATATATATTGAATACATTTACCCAATTACTTTATATTTGTCCCTGAAAAACTTCAAATAAGCTTCATTTACTAAATGACTACAAATGAATGCTAATTTCAGTAAACGGCAGTATTTAAAGCACAAAGCGAATGATGATCATGATGATCTGAAGAGAAGTGGAGCACAACCAGTGTTTTGTAACTCATCCTTCTGCTACAGAAGTCAGCTTGACGCATAGACAAATAGTATAATCCATGATGTCATGCAACTGTATCCCTGTAACACACACACACACACACACACACAGCGGTAATACATCTGACAGGCTGCAGGCGATATGTGTGTGTGTGTGTGTGTGTGTGTGTGTGTGTGTGTGTG